CCTTCCTTCCTTCCTTCCTTCCTTCCTTCCTTTCTTTCTTTTCCTCCCCTGAGAATTGTTGAGAGTGGAAGGGAGAGGGAGAGACAGAGAGAAACACTGATGTGAGAGAGACACATCGATTGGTTGCCTCCCACACACACCCTGACCAGGGCCCAGGGATTGAGCCTGCAACCAAGATACGTGTCCTTGACCAGAATTGAACCCAGGACCCTTCAGTCCACAGGCCGACGCTCTAACCACTGAGAAACTGGCTAGAGCTAAACTATTTTTCTTTAAAAACACAACCCCATGCATGTAGCGGTTGGGAGCAAATAGCATTGGGAGTGTGCTGTCCTATGCACGCGTGTGTCGTGTCCTGTGTGGCACCAGCGCATCTCACTCAGCCGCCCACTGGGTCCCACAGGAGACCCATGGGGTCGTGCGGGGCACACGCTGTAATAACAGTGCTTGACAGCAAAGCCTCTACCTGTTTCATATTCTTAGCTCTCCTTCTGGATGTTGTGTTTAGAGAATTGCTTTTTCTTAGAGAAAAAAGTTGTAAAACACTGATCTTGAAAAATATTTTTTAGAATTTTATGCTTTCATAAGTAATAAATATTTAGGGTCATCGTCGTTCTCATTACCCTTCAATCCCATTGCAGTTTTTGTTTTTTACATTGAAGTCTGTACCTGTTTAATACAATAGATATGTAATCAACAAGAAAAAAAGGTAGAGCCCAGCCTATGTGGCTCAGCGATTGAGCATCAACAGAGGAACCAAGAAGTCACCGGTTTGATTCCCAGTCAGGGCACATGCCCAGGTTGTGGGCTCGATCCCTAGTGTGGGGCGTGCAGGAGGCAGCTGATCGATGATGTTCCTGTCTCATTGATGTTTCTATCTCTCTATCCCTCTATCCCTTTCCTTTCTTTTCTCTCTCTCTCTCTCATCCTATATAATAAAGAGGTAATGTGCTAATTGACCGTCACACCCTCACAAAGATGGCAGCACCCACAGCCACAAGGTGGCAGCACCCAGGCCCCTCAGCCCTGCCGGCAGTGAATTTTCATGTGACCATTACCTTTCTAAAAAATCCTTACCCAAGGATATGATTATTTCTTTTAGATCATCTGTTCTCGGGGAGCAGGCCTAAGCCAGCAGGTGGGCATCCCCCAAGGGTCCCAGACTGTGAGAGGGCACAGGCTGGGCTGAGGGACTCCCTGAGTGCATGAATATATATACTGGATGCGCGGTGCATGAAGAGATTCGTGCAATAGGCCTTCCTTCCCCTGGCTGCTGGCACCAGTTTTCCTCCGGCACCCGGGACCCAGGCCTTTGGTCCGGCTGCAAAGGAGAAGCCAAGCCTCTTCAGTCTTCAGTGTTCAGTCTTCGCTCTGTGCCTGCGTATGCAAATTAATCGCCATTTTTGTTGGGTTTGCGTATGCATAATCGCCATTTTTGTTGGGTTAATTTGCATAGTCACGCTGATTGGCTGGTGGGCATAGTGGAGTGACACCAATTTGCATGATTCCCTTTTATTAGTGTAGATAATGGCTAACTAGATTAGACTTGAAAGGCTGAAAATGAATTCACCTCTTACAGGAAGTAGCTTACAGTGGTCAGAGCTGTTTAAAATGTGTCTAAGGACACAGGGTGTGTGAGTCTACATGCCTGGGATGGATGTGTGCCAGGGCTTGGTGGGCACACCCCAGCCTGTCCGAGTGTCTGTGCCCGTGGGAACGGAGGCCTCACGCAGCCAGGTGACACGGGTCTGTGGGACACCGTGGCTCCAACGCCTAATGCAGGACCTGGCAGAGACAGAGGATGAATACATTTCAGGCCAATTTGCTCCCAAATAATTTACCTAGAGCTAGAGATAAAAGTGTCTGAAAGTCAACAAAAGCATTGCCAGACAAAAGCAGCAGGCACATGGGCTAAACGTTGATTGGAAATTAAGACACCCAAAGGATGTGCATAGGGAGTATCTTCCCTTACATGGGTTTACAGGGACTGCCAGAGCCCGGGCGGAGGGAGCTGCCTGGGGTCTGCTTGAGGCTCAGCCCAGGGTTGCAGCGCAGTCGACTGAATTGGGATTTTATTTTACTAGCGATGCACCTAAATCAGCTGCCATATCCCGTGCTGGCCTTACCCGAAGAATGTGCACCCAACGGAGGCACCACTAATTCTCAGGGACCAAAGGGGACCAGGTTAAAAGAAATGGAGGGCCCGTTCCCACCTGTTGAGAGACTGGACCTGAGTGAGCTCAGGAGATCCGCCGATTCCTGTGAAGACTGGCCGAGTGAGGAGGAGATCAGGCGCTTCTGGAAGCTGCGGCAGGAGATCGTGGAGAAGGAGCAGGCGGAGGTTCTGCAAAACCAGCTCCTCGCCATGGAGCTGCCTCCAAACCTCCGGGCCGTGCTGCGCACCCGGGATGAAGCGCGCCCCAACCCCAGACACGCCCTCAGGTACGACTCCTAGGCCAAGGTGTGTCGTCAGGTCTTTTCAAAGTTGAAAAACTACTTTGCAACTATTTGTTAAAACATCAGGGATGTGTGTGTGTCTGCATTGCCTTCACTAGTTAGGCAGCAGTACCCACCTGGCTTTGGGTTAAAGTCACCCCAACATGGGCTCCAAGTAGGTGGTTACACAAGAGAAAAGCCCAAACCTGTGTGTTTGAGTGTGTGTGTGTGTATGTGTGTGTTATATGTCTGGTGTGTGTGTGTGTGGTATGTCTGTGCATGGTATGTGCCCATGTGTATATTGTGTGTGTGTTGCATGTGCACGATGTGCATGATTTGCATGATGGGTGTTGTGTATTCATGGTGTATGATGTGTGTTGCACGTGCATGATGTATGTAATGTGTTACATGTGCATGATATAGGTGATGTGTTGTATGTGCATGGGTATGTGTGATGTGTGTTGTGTATGCATGCTGTGTGCTATGTGTTGCGCATGCATTGTGTGTGTGATGTGTGTTGTATGTGCATGGTGTGTGTGTGGGTCTGGGTATGGTGTGTGAGAAGGCTGGGGTTGGAATATTGAAAACATTGAAAATCTTCCATCTCCAGGAAAGGTGTTGCTGTTCATCGCACTATCCTTGCAACTGTTCTGTAGGTCTGAACATTTTCAGAATAAAAACCGTTGAGGTGTTACTAACCGATGGTGGCCGCAGAGGTGTAGGAAGCACATAGTGTAGGCTCCGCGGCAGCCCGGCCTGGACTCACCTCGCGACTGTCTCAGTCCTGAGTCACCCACTGGCGGACAGGACGGTCCAAGCCTGCTATTTAGAAACCTCCTCCTCCCTCCTTCCATTTGCATCCAGGTGGCTCAGGGGAAGCCGGTTCAGAGCCTACAGCCCGAGGGTGACCTGGTGGCTTGGGGGTGGGAGTGGAGGGCAGCACCTTCCGCACAGGCCCAGGGTGCAGCTGGCCCAGAAGCCCTGCTCTCAGGTTGTGTGTTTTCTACAGCATCTTCCAGGTGTGTGTTCATCGCAAGATTTTGTTAGGTGCTCGGCTAAAACCTTGTGTAATTCCAGAAGGAAGATACCCTCCTTCAAGGGCGCCCTGCCTGGCCTGGCGTTAGCGCACCCGGCGGGGACAGGGACGGCGACAGAAGCAGAGCAGCTGGAGGAGAGGCGGGCCTCGGCCTTCAGGGAGCTGCGGGAGAAGCAGGCGCTGATGGAGCAGCGCCGGAGGTGAGGCTGGGCTCCGTGGGATCCCGGCGGGCCTGGGGGCGACTCCTGATAAACGGACTGTTTCTCCCCCTTTGGAAGCCGGGAGCTGCTTCCGAGTGCAGGCCGTCTCCGGGCAGGTTCTCCCTGCACACCTGTCCCCACCCGCCTCCTCACGCCGCCTGCCTTCTTTGTTATACCTTCCTCCAATTTCTTATTCTTCCTTAATCCGCCCTCGTCTCCTTTCATTTACTTGGCTGGCAGGTCTTTTCTAAAGAACAATATTTAAAAGTAACATGCTTGTCCATTCACTCTCACCCTTGCCTCGCGGGTCTGCTGCTGCTGCGGCCACCCCTGTGCTCAGCGTGTCCTCTGTCCAGCTCTGCTGACCGCCCGCCTTCCCCGTGCTCTGGGCCCTGGGAGGCCGGCCAGCATGGGCCTCGTCCACAGCACCCAGGAGCTCCTCGCCTCCTGGTTGGGTTTGGTCAGTGGAGGGGTCCCAGCAAGGGGGTCGGAGAGAAGGGGGAGCTGGAGGGCAGTACCTGTATTCCACCTGCCCCTCCCTGTGAATGCCACCTGGGCCTGACCAGGTCCCCCACAGAGGCCCACCCCATGCTTCTCACTCCTGGGTTCCACCCGGCAGTCACTCCTTCCCTCGTCCCGGAGCCTGGGCGGCTAGCCCCACTGTCCCCGCACTGCCCCGGGACCTGTCTGCCCCTCCCCCATGAATAGCCTGGTGTGAATAAACCCTCCTGAACCCATCCCGTGAGTGTGTCTTCTCTCGGGCCCTGATGGATGCGGACTGTTCACGGACCCAGTTCTGAGGTTGCACGATTGTCCTCCCACCACAAGGCCTACTGTCTAGTTGGCTTCTTTTCCTTCAGTGAAAGGTGGGGGATGGTGGACCCTCAGAACTGGTCAGGACACATGAGGTCCCGGCCCCTGGGCTGTCCCCTGGTGGCAGAGATGAAAGAGAGGCTCAGACTCGGGTGTGGTCTGGGCTGCTCCTGGGATCACGCTGGTCATCAGTCACAGCTGTGGACAGCCACCTCCTAGAGTCCCCCAAAGTGTCCCTCAGCTGGAGTCCAGGCTACAGGGGTGGGGCGCCTGCCGCCCACCTCAGGGCCATGTGAGGACCAAGCACGGGCAGCCTGGTGGGCAGTACTGCAGAGCAAGGCCAGCTGTGTCCCCGCGAGAGGAGCCTCCTAGAGCCAATGTCACAGGCTGCTCCCGACCACCGAGGGCGCCTGCCCCCACACACTGTGCTGGCCCCCGGCACCTCCCTGCTCTGCATCTAGGCGGGTCCCACCCCTCCTGCCTGGCTTCGCCTGTTCCCTGATTCTAGTTCCTAAAACTCCAGTTCCAGCCTCGGGCACCTGCCCTTAGACTCCTCCGGAAAGCTCTTCTGCCCCTTGTTTTCACGTGAGTCCCTCCCCTCCCCCAGCCACCGTCCCCCTCTTGTCCTGCCCATGATGGCGGTGCTCAGGGCAGGGAAGTGGCACGGCGGCACCGGCACTCGGGGTGCCCGGGACCCTGCACGCTCTGTGAAAGGAAGGTCTCAAGCACCAAGGGCAGGTGCCAGCCCTCTCCTTGGTTTCTCTGCCTGGGACCCCAAGGCTGTGTTCTGTGGCCTCCGTGGGGACAGTGCAGGAGGCCTGTGCTGCGGCTTAGACTCCTGGTGGACCTGGTTGTCTTAGGACATGAGGCTCCTAAGGACTTTACCCGGGGCCTCTCAAGGGGAGGGGGCGGGGTCCCTTCCATCCAGTTCACCGAGAAGTGGTGGAGACGAGGATGGACCCCGTCTTCTGGGAGGGTAGCCCCTGAGGTCACAAAGTCACAGCTCCACACAGGACTGCTGAGTGGAGGACCAGGGAATGTGGCTCAGCTGGGGGCGGGGGCGGGAGGCGGTCTAGTGGGGAGGCCTCTGCAGGGGTGCAGAGGGGGGCACCTGGCCCTTCCCAGGCTCTGACAGCAAAGCACGGCTGCTGGGAGGACCAGCACCACGCCCCAGGGGAGCCTGGGAAGGAGTTACCTGGTCCCACCGCCACCTAAATCCCGAGGCAGCACCAAGCACCGTGCGGGACCTCACAGGGGGCAGTGGGCGGAGCCCGGGAGCCATGAGGACGGAAGAGCCCATGACACAGGCAGGGCAAGAGGCCAGGGGGCCATCTGCTGAGAGGGGAGAGCAGAGGCCAGATTTGGGGGCAGGGGGGCTGGGGAGGTGTGCTGACCACCGGAAGCTATGGGAGACCCAGGAAGTAGTTCACACGGACAGATGGAGACCTGGGCCCGGCGAGGCTTCCCATGGATCCCGTCCCATCTCCAAAGCCAGAAGCACAGCCCAGCGGTCTCTGAGCTGTGGGCAGTGACTCCCCTCGGGTGTGACCGCAGGGAGGTCAGGGTGCAGCGGGCAACCCCTCGCCACGTGGAGCCTGTCCTGCCAAAGCCTGGCGAGAGCATGGCCACGTCACAGGGAGGGGCCTGTGAGAAACGCGTGCTCACTCTCTAACGTGGAACTCACGTGTCTCAGAGGAAGCTGACTCATTGGCGGCCATTGCGAGTGCCTGAAGGCCTCGGTGCCAGGGCTGGCGGCCACAGCCCCGGCCTGGCCTTCTGATGCCTCGCCTGGCAGGGGCTTGAGGGGGGCCTGGCTCGCCCTTGGGACAGTTCGATGTGCCCAGCTCGGCCGGGGGTGCATTTCAGAAGCCGCCCCCCAAATCTGTGCCGCTCAGGCCAGTGTCTGCCCTCTGGACGGAGGGACCGGAAGTGGAGGGCTATGTGTGGAGCTTTAACAATGACAGGAGAGTCCTTGTAAGTTGTGCAGCTGCCCCCACCAGGACCGACTGATACGATGGTGCCTTTCCTCCAGAGACAGAAGGGCCCTGCTGGAGTGGCGGGAGCAAGCCCAGACGCTGAGGAAGAGGAAGAGGGAACTCGGCAAACTCCGGCCTCCACGACGGACGCTGGTAGGCGGTGCTGGTGGGAGGTGGGGCTGCGGTGAGACCTGAGAGCGGCTGTCAGGCACTGCCGGCCGCTCGCAGGTCGAGTGCCCTGGGCTCCCGTCCTCCTGTTCAGGTCTGGGATGCGGCGGGTGCTGCCAACGTCCCCCTTTCCCAGGTGAAGACTGAGGCCCGCAGGCCCCAGCGCAGGGGGTGGGGCTGGGCTGGCGCCCAGTGAACCTGTGGTCTGCGCTCTGCACCGTCCGAGTCGAATGTGCCCACAGGTGTCTTGCTGGGTCTCCTTGTCTGGGGTCCTCTCAGCTTCAGGGAGGTCGGGCACCTTGGAAGCCAAGCAGTGGTGGTTGAGTGGGCTTAGGCCCTCTGTTTTCAAGGCCAGGGCCATCGGCTCCCATGGTGCATTTGGGGTCCGAACCCAGATGGACAGGGCAGCCGCGGGCCTGGACATGCTGGCTTGCTTCTCTCCCGCGAGCAGTCAGGCACGTGTGCATTTGAACTTGGCACGATGTTCCTTCAGTTCTTTTGTTTAAGGCATGTCCCCTGTTGGCACCCCACAGGACAGGGTGGCCTCTGTGCCCCTAGTCTGGGGGAGGGCGCCCTGTCCGCTGTCCACCTCACAGCGGGGTGGCCACTCTGACAGGCAAACTTTGAGGGACAGGAAAGCTGTAGAGACAGTGTGACTGACTCCCCACGTGTCCCTTCCTCTCCAAGTACTCACACCCACACCACCACGGACCGGCTCAGTGGGGAGTGGACGACGGGACAGCGCTATTAGCGGAAAAAACACACCGAATCCAGCATGTTGTCCACTGAAGCCAGCGATGCCCAGGGCCACATCCCAGGGGCGTTTGGGGATGCCCGCCCGCCTGGGACATAGCACGGGCAGGGGAGCAGCAGGGCGAGGGCAGGAGAGCTCCGACCAGTCACCGGTAACACAGGCTTTCTGACTCTCTGTCAGTTATGTTTCAGTTCGAAACCTAGTGATTTAAAGACAGGGTCACGTCTGCGTGGTCACGTCCATTTCCGGTGGGTGTCACCCTGCTCTGTGCCTGGCCCTTCACCCCGCCTGGCCAGCAGCACGTCCAGCTGGCGGCCGAGGCCGGGTGGTGACCGCAGTGCAGGGACCGCTGTTCTCTGACGGCCGCTTATCGGCCTCCGTGGACGATCGCCTGTGCCCACAGCAGTGTGTCCGTGGGCTCCTGAACACCTTGCTGTTTTCCTAGGAGGCCCCCAAGCTCCCCTTTGCCACAGATCTGATCGAAGACGAGAAAACGCCAGTGGCTCCACCGGGGAAAGGGGCACAGCTCAAAGAGAAGTCCCCACACGCCAGTGACGAGCCCAGGTTGGTTCTGGGGGTGATGCTCCCTCCCACCCCCGGGTCAGAGGTCTTGGTTCCACCAGCATCTCATGGGCAGAGGTCCAGGCCTCTGGGGGCTCAGGTAGCACGGACAGCGGGAAGGATGGGTCCCTCCCTCAGGAGCTGCTGTAGCCGCTGGGCTTGTCACCTCCCCGCCAGTGTCCGCACATCCCTGAGGGACCCCTCCCCACTTGGAGCAGCAGCTCCGCGGGCCCCTAGCCTTGCTTTAGGTTCCCGTGTTCTCCCTTCGCTGGCGTGCCTTCTCAGCCCCCACTGCACCCTCCTGCTGCAGTCCGTGCCTCCCACTAGAGCAGTGGTTCTCAACCTTCTGGCCCTTTAAATACAGTTCCTCATGTTGTGAGCCAACCACAAGGTTATTTTCGTTGCTACTTCATAACTGTAATGTTGCTACTGTTATGAATCGTAATGTAAATATCTGATATGCAGGATGGTCTTCTGCGACCCCTGTGAAAGGGTCGTTCGACCGCCAAAGGGGTCGCGACCCACAGGTTGAGAACCGCTGCTCTAGCATCTCAGGCCTCTTTCTGCCACTCTGTGCATCTTTGTTATAAATCAAAGGGTGTGAACCCAAAGCCCCGATGCTAACAGAGCAAATATGTTTAAAATCCTCATTTAATTCAATGTCCCTCTGACTGAGGATTTATGACAACTATGTATCTGACGTGAAAACAGACACGCTCTTTGTCACATGGCACGATGTGCAGGGCCCTAAATGTGCAGCATCTTAACCTGAAGTTTTAAAATACAGTGTGTGTCCCAGCAGCTTGGAGCCCAGGGGAAGGGTTGGGAGAGTCGCCCAGGCCTGGCTGTGAGCTGGCGCCGGGAGGGAGGGGCGGGCGGCCTCTGGTGGCCTCAGCGTCCCCTTCAGCGCCTCACCCTCACAGTGGGGTGCAAGCCGCAGGCCCTGCTTTGGTCTGGAGGGGAAGGAAGGCTCCTTCTCCCAGGTTAAGTCCGGCCCGGGTCTCCGCAGGCCCTTCCAGGAGCGGGGCCTGGAGGGGAGGCTGCAGCAGCACGTCCGGCAAATGCAGGAGGCGAGGAAAACGTTTCAGGGGGTGGCACCGTTCAAGGAGATGAGGAAGGCCACCGAGGACCTGGAGGTGGTACGTATTTGTTGGCTTTATTTAAAAACAAGTGGTTTTATTAAAAACGGAAGGGAGCTTGCTGTGCCTTCTCAGAGCACGTGTTCGCTGAAATGTGGGTGGGGAGGCGTTTCACGGGCCTTACAGTGGGCGAGGGTCCCAGGATGACTCGGTCGAAGGATGAGAAAACATTTTGGCCACATGTGAGCCCTCGGGTGCGACGTGCCGCCTGACGGGCCTTGGCAGCAGCTTCTCCTTGACCCGTGGGGCAGGGACCTGTCTGTGGGGTCTTCACCTGAGGGTTTGTGCCAGCAGAGCTGGGTGGGGCCGTGAGGGCTTCCACTAAGGAGGGGCCTGGGCCGCAGCCAGGCCATAGGCCGACGCGCCCAGTGTCTGTGTAGGGTCACAGTGGCAGGTATGCAGAAAGCAAAACAAATGTTTTTTGTTTTTTTAAAAAATATATTTTATTGATTTTTTACAGAGAGGAAGGGAGAGAGATAGAGAGTTAGAAACATCAATGAGAGAGATACATCGATCAGCTGCCTCCTGCACACCTCCCACCGGGGACGTGCCCGCAACGAAGGTATATGCCCCTGACCGGAATCGAACCTGGGACCCTTCAGTCCGCAGGCTGACGCTCCATCCACTGAGCCAAACCAGTTACGGCAAAACAAATGTTTTTAATTCCACAAAGAACACAATCGTTTTAGGAAAGAAAATGTTAACCAGGGGATAAGCAGCGAATAACGTCTGCTGGTCATGAGGCTGTAAACCCCGAGTGTCGATTTATCCATCATGATGGGTCTGCAGCTGGAGGTCCAGGCTATGCCCAGGGAGATGGAACTGAGGGGGGGGGCAAGGGGGGCAAGGACATGCCCTCCTTGGGGACAGGGAGGTCCTGGCACTGCAGACATAGCGGCCAGCTTTTCTGGGCAGAGGCAGGAAAGGGCCCCCTGCCTCCTTCTCCATGTCACCTCCTTCTGGCCCAACAGATGGGCTGGGACAGGGCATTTGGAGCAGAGCCCACACCTCGTTCCAGGCTCAGGGATTCCCTCCACCTCAGCACGCTGGGTCCTGTTCCTGTGTCTGAGTCTCGGCCCCCCCTCCCGGGGCGGGTGTGAGTCTCAGGTGGGGTCGCAGTCGGGACGGGGCCGGCTGTGGTGACGTGAGCAGGAGAGCGGACCCTCCCTTGGCCCTTTCGTGACTGGCAGTCATGCAGACGGCTGCGTGTGGACACCGGGCCTCTGGGGACCTGCCCCCTGCACGGGACAGTGTGTCTGAACAGAGACAGGCTGACCCCGTCCTGTCCACCTGGCTAACTTTGTCCCCCCGCCCTCCCCTAAAGGCCAGAAAGCTGCTGGATGGAGTCATGAAACTGAGCAAGAGCCACGGGGGCCCGGCGCTCCCTGGGAGCCATCCGCTGTGCCTGCCGGCATTACAGCCTCAGAATACGTTTTCCAACACGAAACACTAAGCATCTGAAAGTGACCACAAATACTAATGACAGCGTCTTATGTGCGACGACGGGAACGCCTCCAGCGGGAGTGGGCTCGGCGGGGCTGTCTTCCTCGGTGCCCTCGCACGCTGGGCTCTCAGGTTCAGCATCTCCCCCGGCTCGCGGTGCAGGCAGCCTATTGTTTTTGATCTGCGTTGCTTTTTCTGAGGCCGTGAAAGGTTTCAGCTGCATTAAAAGGAAGAGAATACTGTAAACCAGCCACACCGCTTTCATTTCTAGCAACAAAAGTAGTTATTTCCATGGGCGGGGGGCGGGGAGGGGGGTGCTGGCTCACCCCATCCTGCCAGGTAGAAGCCACTGCCGTGAGGCCCTCCTCCCACCAGCAGGGGTCTCCTTTGACCTTCAACCTTCCCTGTGGTAGACCCCTCACCCTGCAGGAGATTGAAATCCAGCAGGGCACACCCCTGCCCCTGAAGGCTGCCCAGGCCTCCCCTCCAATCAGCCGATCAGCCACTAACAGCGTTCTCTCCCGCAGGCTAATCGATTCTGTCTGCCCCAGGGTTTTGTTCTGAGCTCACTGCATTCGGGAAGGAGGCCTGGGTCCCAGCTCAGCGGGAGGCCTTCATCAGCCTTGTGCTCTCTGGGGCTCCCCACCTGTCCCGCCCAGGAGTCCAACTCCAGTCATGTTACTTTTTGAAAAAATCACTTTGCTCCAAGAATCCTAGAAACAGGGTACAGATAAAAGTCAAACACTGTTAGATGATTAAAAAGGAAAAGCTGGAGAAAAATTCCGTGGTGGCATTCCGTGGTGGCATTCCGTGGTGGCATTCCGTGGTGGCAAACATGCTTGATTTTACTCCAGCTTCAAATCTGTTTATTTTGCTGGTTGGTTCAAGGTGCAGTGATTCCATTTTTGTCCTTGTTGGCCTCAAGTTTTGAGTATTTTTCATTCTATTAGCAGTGACAGTCCCTTTACCTTCTCTCCTGATCAGACAGGTATAAATGTCAACTCCTCCAGCTTCCCCAACCCCTCCTTTCCCGTCCTGTGCACCGACAAGGACTTCCAGTGTTCTCGCCACCTCCCTCGGTTATCCAATGCTACGTGACAGGCCACTTAGGGGGCCTGAGGGCCCCACCCACCACCACCACCACATGCCCCTCCAGGTGGTCCCTCTGCAGGGAGCTCCGGGCTCTGAAAGTGCAGAACGGAAGCTTCCAGGCCTTCCTCAGGCTTAGGCCGTAAAGGAGTGCAGCACCATTCCCTCAGCCTCAGCGCTGTGACCCACGTTCCCCTGCAGGTGGCGCCTGGGGCACACCGCTGCTGCCAAGGCCATGCAGGGCAGGGGCGGGCGACCTGGCCCACATGCCCAGACTCTGCGGGTTCTCTGTCTTTGACTCTGAGAGAGAGCTCAGTTTCTGGCCAAGCAGTTTCAATCAACGTGGGGAGATTTCTCCTCTCGCCCACACTAGGACATCAACGCTGACTGCAAACCAGGTCAGATGAGGACCTGGACAGGGGCCTGGGAGCCTTGGGAGAGGATCGTCACAAATATACTCTGCCCCCAGAATTTCTCAATGGCCCCCCCACAGCTTGGGGTGCTCTGCACTTGGGTTCCTCGTCACGGAGAACAGACTTAAGGGAGAAGCAGCCAGCTGGCTCAGGATAAGGACCACAGATCAACTGTTTTGAAACTAAAGCAATTATTTGAGAAAGAGATGCCCCACCCTGAAACGTTCTTGCTCAGATGCCTGCAAACACAGGACCTGGGCCTGAGGGGGACTCGGGGCCACTGCAGAGCACCGCCCCACTCACAGGACTCAGAAAGGCACCGGTTAGGGGGTGGGTGGGGAAGCTTTCCAGGAGGCCCCAGCCACCTACCAGGGCCTTTGAGCAATTCCATGGGCCCAGGTGAAATACCAGTGGGGCGGGTGCTGCACAGGAATGTGGCACATGTTTGCTGCTGCAGCCCAGTCCTGACCATGGCCCAAAGTCTGAGGATCTCATTGCTGGACCAGCTACAGGGGAGAACTGTGATGGTGCTGGTGATGGTGATGTGATGATAGTAATGGTGATGGTGATGGTGGTGATGGTGAAGGTGGTGATGATGGTGGTGGTGGTGGTGGTGGTGATGGTGAAGGTGGTGATAATGATGGTGGTGGTGGTGGTGGTGATGGTGAAGGTGGTGATAATGATGGTGGTGGTGGTGGTGGTGATGGTGAAGGTGGTGATAATGATGGTGGTG